AATATATATATTATAATTATTAATCTAATTATATTAAAATATTATAAATATCTTTTTAAATAGTATAAATATTATATATTTTTTTAACTTAAATATATATTTCTATATTAATTTATATATATAAACTCTCTATATATTAATACTTTTTATATTAAATTAATATCTAAATATATATAATAACTAATAATTAGATTTATTAAAAAACTTTTAGATAATCTTATTAAATTATATAATAAATCTAAGAATACTTCTAGTAATACTTATTTAAATAAAATATATATTATTAAAATTAATTAATCTAATATATTTTTTATTAGGAATATTAAATTTTTAAAAGTTCTTATAATTATAAATATTAATATTTTTTTATTTTAGAATATTTTATATAAATATTTATTTTATAAATTAGAATTATAAAAAATATTTTTATTATTTTTTTACTAATTCTATAATTAAATTAAATTAATATAAGAAAAATATTATTTCTAATATTTTCTTATATATTTAGTACTTTATAATAATATAAACTAAATTAAATATAATATAATTATATATTTTAATATATCTAAATATTAGTTATTTATTTATAATTATTAATACTATATTAATAAAATTAATTATTATTTTTATTTTATTAATAAAATTTTTTTTAATATTATTAAAATTAGTTCTAGTTATTAAATCAAAAAATTTATAAATTTTAAATTATATTTTCTTTATATTAAAGATTAAACTAAAAATATATTTAGTTTTATATTTATTTATATTATAATTAAAGTATTTTTTATTAAGAATTTTTAATTAAATCTTTTTATTAAAATTAATATAATTAACTATAAAAATATTATTCTAGATATTTAAAAAGCAGATTATAGTTATTTATAAATATAATAATTTTATTATTATAATATAAATTATTATTAAGATTAATAGAACTAATATCTTTATATATATAATTTAATCTATAATTATTTTATTTTATTTAAAAGTCTATATATTAATTAAGATTTATAAAAATCTTTCTAATATTAATTTTATATTTAAATTATATAATAATACTAGTATTTCTTTATATACTTATCTTATTAATATTAACTTTTTATTTATTAAAATAGTTAATAAATTAATAAAGTTAATAACTTTTAATTAATAAACTTAAGTTAATATTCTTATAAATAATAATTATATAATAATATATCTAATAAAAAATAATATTATTAAATTAAATTATTTATCTTTATATTCTAGAAAATCTTAAGTTAAAGATATATTTTTAAAAAATCTATATTTTAATATTATTAATATTTATTATAAATATTAGTATTTTAGAAATAAAAAAATCTATTTTTAAATTCTTTAAATCTTTATTTTATTTTTTACAGGAAGCTTCTTTATAGAAATTATTTTTTATTTTTTTATATTTAATATAATCTTTATTTTATATTACTAATATAAATAAAAATCTTATTATAAAATTTATAAATAATATTATTATTTATATTAAAAATAATATAACTACTTATATATTTCAAAAAGTCCTTATATTATATAATATTTAGATAATATTTAATAATTTTAATATTAGTATTACTAATATTCTAAAAAATTATTAATTATATATACTATTTAAAAAGACTAAAAAAATTAAATATCTAAATTAAAAATTTATTATATTCTATAACTTGATTAAAAAACTATTAATAAAATCTTTAATTTTTTATACTAAATTAGTAAAATATTATATATTATTAATTATAAATTTTTTATATATCTAGTTTTTATAATATAGAAAATTATTAATAATAATTTTGAAAAAAATTATTATTAGTCTTTAGAAAATAAATTATAAAATTAAATTCAATTTATATCTTATTTCTATACAGAAGAATATCTTATATATAATTAAAAAATATTTATATAATAATAATTTATTTTATATAATTAAATATATTATCTATAATAGTTTTACTAAAAAAATTATAATTAATTTTAAAAATAATAATTCTACTAATTTTTATTCTAGTAAAAAGGATATTATAAATAATATTTTTATTATTATTTAAAAAAACCTAATTATATCTTTTTTATTTTATAATTCTTAATATTTTTAAAATTATTTATAATAATAATCAGTATTAAGAATATAATAAATATATTAAAAAATTTAATAGTTTAGTTATTTACTAAGATTAAAAATAATTATATAATTATATTATTTAATATATTTATAGAATAAGATATATTATTATAAATTATATAAATTATTTTAATTAATTATTTCTTTTTTTTATATTATAATTATAGATTTTATTACTTTATTTTTTATAGACTTAATTCTTATATTTTTTACTAATAATTATTAATAGATTTATTAAATAAATTAGTTTATATTTTAAAAAATCTATATAGAAAGTAAAACAGTAGAGTATTATATTAATTAAATATATATAAATATATAACTAGAATATTCTATATTTTTTTATTTTTAATAAAAATATCTATTTTATATTTAAGTTTTAAAAACTCTATTTTTAAAATTATAAATTAAATAATTTTATAATATTACTACTTATTTACAGATAAATAACTAAAATAAATATATAATTTAAATAATTAAAGTTATAATTTATTATAATATTATCTAAAAATATATATAATTTTTTATATTATTATTAAATATATCTATAATTAATTTAATATTCTTAGTTATTATAGAGAAATTTCTATATAAATTAATATTTAATATTTTTTTTTAATAATTCTAATATTTAATTAAGATAATATATAAAAAGATTATTCTAAATTATATTTTTAATATTTTAAATATTTTAAATATTTTTATTCTAGATACTCTAAGAAAGATCTTTGATATTATTAAAAATAATTAGTTAAATATTAATAATATTAAGAGAGATTCTATTAATCTTATTATTTTTATTATTAAATAATCTAATAAGTAAATAATCTATTTTAGAATATATTATTTATATATTAAGATTATTATTTCTCTAACTACTAGTAAAAAAAGTTTTATTATTATATTAAAAAGAAATATAATTATTCTAGAAAAAATATTATAACTAATATTAATAATATTTAGGATTTCTTATTATATTTTATTATTAAAAAATTCTTAAATTTATCTTTATTTATATTATAAAATATTTAAATAATAATTATTATTTATTTATATTATTTACTTCTGGTAACTATATTTATTTATATTTATATTATAATTATATTATACTAATTATTATAATTATTAAGAAGAAGTTTATTTAATAATATATTAGTTTTTTCTCTATTATTAAAGTTATTAATTAATATATTCTATTATTTTAGTAATATAATTAGAATCTATTTATAATCTTACTAATCTTAATTTTTATAATTAAATTTTTATAAAATTTTTATAAGTCTAGGATAAAATATTTTCTAATAATAATATATATTAAAAAGTTAAAATTATTTTAATTAAATATATTATATTCTAAGAATAATATTATACTCCTATAATTTAATACTTAATTAAATAAAAAAATATAATTTTAAAAATAATATATAAATATATATCTCTAATATTAATAATTTTAAATTATTTTATTAGTTTAAAGAATCCTAGTTCTTTTAAAACTAATATATTTAATATTATATTTTTTTATTTTCTTATTTATCTATATACTTTTTTATTTTTTTTATTTTTTTTATTTTTTAGTATTTTTATATTCTTTTTTTTATTTTATAATTTAGTTTATTTATTAATTAACTACTATATCTATTATCTATATCTAAGAAAGGTATATATATAATTATTAATCTATATAAATATTAATCTTACAGAACTAGTATATATAGTATTTTTTAATTTATCTAAGAATTCTGTTATTTCTTTCCTCAGCTGTCTTTCTTACTGTTAAGCAGGCAGAATTCTTACTCGCCTGTCCTAGGACACATCCTCAGTTGAAGCCATCAATTCATCATCATATTTCATCATCTTTCCAGCCACACGTAACAGAATTAAGCAGAAATTAAACTAAATTAGATAAAAATTAAGCCGAATCAGGCAGAAATCAGGTAGAAATATTCTATTATCTTATATTATCTTTATAAATAAGCTTAATTACTGAGAAATTTAATCTACAGGTTAACTGTTGGTTAACCTGGACAGAAATATATATTTTTTATATCTAACTATTAACCTGCAGTTAGGTATAAGATTTTTGATTAACCTGACCTAACCTGGCTGTTAGCCACTCTAACTAAGTTATATAACCTGATAAAATATAAATACTGTAAAATTATATAGATAGTTCTTTAATAACTAAATCTACAAATTATCAAGGCTTCATACTTTTCCTTGCCAAAACCGCTAGTTTCCACAATCTTTCTACTTCTTTCTTATCTCTAGTTCAATAATTAGTAACTATTACACTAATCTATGAAAGAATTATAAATCTAAAGACAATGAATAAAAATATATCTTTGGTACTGATATTTTTAATTTCTTATATTAGTTTAAAAAATTCCAGTTTTTCTTATTTAAAGTATATTATATTTCACTTTATACTTTTTATTATTTTTATACTGCCTAGTAGACAGGATTCTTACTTAACTATATAGAACATATTTCCTAAATATTAATTTAGCCACATGTAATGATATATATTTATGCTATAAATACTACAGATTGAATAGATAAACATAATTAGTATTTTCAAATAAAAAATTTATAATTTTGAAAATAAAATAATACTATTTACCTCATAATTTGAAGATATAATCCAGATAATCAAAGTGTCAAGTTTTCGCTAAAGAATCCAATAGAAAAATTATTCTTCTTTCTCAGTAAGGAACTACTGCTATATATTCTTATCAATTAAGTCGCATATTTATATCCTCTAAAGCAGCACACGAGATCTCTTGCATAATTCTGCCAAGGCGGGCGCTTCCGGCTCAAGAGTGGCCGAATCTGCTGAGATGACCGCAATGCAAAGCAACAACGCATCTAGCTACTGATTCACTCTTGGAAGCTCAAACTCCAAACTCAACATCGACAAGCTGTTGAACAGAAATATACAATACTGAACCTCTTACTTCCCATCACTCGGGTACTCACAACAAGTACAGCATGGACTGGGATCGGAGTAGAAGGTTTGGCTGAAGATCCTCCGCCATGCATCAATCAAGACTAATTATTATTCCTTTCAACATAGGTTTGATGACCACCGTGGCGGCGAGAGCTATCGCCCTGCTGGCTCCCGGGGTTATATTCGTCGCAGTAGATCGCCCTCTCGAATTCACTCTCCGCGTCTTGTTGCGGACACCTGGGTTCCCAGTAATCGGACGTATGGCCGTGCTCGTAGTCGGTCACCCGCTCTCAGGCGTCGTTCTTCACGTAGCCCTCCTTTTTACAGTCGAGACACTGTAATGGGCCCTTATTCGAAGACATCCTCTCCAACCAGACGCTACTCACCGAGGCGGGAGGGCAGAAACCGATCACCCCCTCAGCTACTCTGGCAATCAAGATCCCCTTATGGCGGAGAGATGGCAAGGGGACGAAGCACACCGAGAAGATTGCGAGAACCGTCCCCTCCCGGTCAAGATTTTAGGCAACCCCGTAGAGAGCGTCCTTCTCTGCCCACCGATAAGTATGCAAAAGCTGAACTCTCTGTCCGAGATGGCAGCGGTCGCATGCCTCCGCTGCCCCGACCACGCAGTCCTTTACATCCAACACGCAGAGAACGAGTTTCAGACATTGTTACATTTCAGAAGCGATTATCCCCATCTGCCAGGGGCGATCCATCCCCAATGCGCACATCGGCCTCTGGTTCACTTCCAAACTCGAGGCGGTCTTCTCCGATTAATGAAAGACCTGGCACATTTCCTCACCAAATCCGGGATCGGTCCCCCTCGCATTGTACTCCTTCTCGATGTCATTCGAAACATTCAGATCTCTCAAACCGCCGGGATGCCCGTGTACGCCCGAAAGATAAAGCCAGTCTTGAAGAAGCTAAACCTATGTTGCCTGCCATAGAGCAAGCGAACATTACGGAGAGACGAAACCCAGATAGAGCCGACATGCGTCGGTCTTTCGACACTGCAGAAATCTCGCAGACGCCCGTTTTGTACTCCGGTAATGTACCAACACAGCCGAAAGCATACAACTCCATGCCAACGCAGGCGCCACCGTCCGGCCCTTCTCATGGCCTCAAAGCCTTACCCCAGCAAATTCGCGGGTCGAGCATATCCTTACTCTCAGCTCCAACTCGGCCGCGTGGCGGTGCTAACTTTAAGGAAAACCCCTGGACAGCATCGACAGCGCGCCGTGGGGGTCTATCCGCTGGGCTTCATGGAGCCCCCCCGACTGGTCCGCGCAGTAGTCTCTCCGCTACAGGTTCAGTCGTTGAGTCCAACCGACCCTCATCTGGCAGACAGAGCAGTGTTACCGGAATCACTCATTCGCGTCTACAGAGATTCTCTAGCCAATTATCGGGATTACGCGCAGTTATCCCCGAAGGCAAGCCTCTCCCATTGGGTCTTGACGCCTCCATCGAGAAACGTCTCTCCCTGTTAGAGACGGACAGAGATCGGCTTGTTGAGCAGGCTACTGACAATCAGCGCCTGAATCGTCTTGGTGCCCGTGACTGGGATAGATTAGACAGGGAAAGCTCCATTTGTGCGCTGAAAAGCGAACTGGCAGAGGGGCATTTGCAGCGAATCAGTGATAGCGACAGCATGCATATTGGCATGACATTCTGAGATAGTTTAAATCGGGGATCTTGTTTCTCAGCTCTTCGCACTATGATGCTTCCTCTGGAATTGTCCTGCAATCTTCTTTCAGGGAATCTTAATCTGCAACTGCCTTGCTTGTTACACTGCCATCATTGCTACCAAACATGTAAACCTGCCTGATCAAGGAGAAGCGCTTGGAGGTATCTTTCCACATTGAGAAATAGGTGAATTGTACCCATCTCAATGATGCGAGGTTACCATAACTATCCGACAGAGAAATATTTGTACCAGGCAATCCCAGCTTTTCAAGGGCTGTCGGACAGATTGTTATATTGCCAATGGTCTATCTAATCTATCGAATGGGGTTTGTTTGCGCACAATCCAGCTCGCAGTACCTACTCTTTACTCTTCCGTGATTGGTGTCCCGTATTGCTGTGCTGTATTACGGCATCATGTAAGTGTGGGGCGCGCCCTTTATGTCGCGCGTAGCTTGCGGCTTCGTGTCAACATTAAGTTATCTACCATACGTACTAAGACAAAGTTCCTTAAGTTCTTCTTTCAGAACTCCCGTTCACAATTCATGATTATTATCCTTTAAATTCACTTGTCTCTCTTCTCAGATACACTTGCTATATCTCAAATCAAACTAATTTTCGTCGGATTTTCTGATCTCACACCATGAATATTTTCAGGTTGTCCGGTATGTACCAGGGCGCCCTCAAGGAGCAACCTCGAATCCTGACGCAGCTCAAACTAGCGGATTTCTCTCATCTTGCATCCATCTTCATTCTGTTGCATAAAATGAAGATATCGAGTGTGAGTTAGCAGCATATGTAGGCTTGCGACGTGTCGTTGACCATGGTAACAGAGCTGCTCTGGGTTGTCATTCAAGTCGCAGGTTCTCTACCTGATAGTGTTCATTACACGATATCTTGGTGAGTCTCGCTACTGACAGTTGCAACAAATGAACCTAACCCAGAGTCTTGATTTCAGATTTGTTCTGGGCCTTCACCGACTCCCTTTATAACACCACATTCAAACTCCTGTTTATTGGCTCTTCAGCTTATATCATTTACCTCATGCTTACCGAGTACAAACCCACGCATGATCCAAACCTCGATACTTTCAAGGTGCAGTACCTTCTCTGCTTCAGTGCGCTTTTGGCTGTGTTGTTTCCCCACGACTACAGTATCTCCGAGGTCAGTAACCGGACCCCAAGCATTGAGATTACCACTCAACACGTCATGCAGATTCTTTGGACATTTTCCATATGGTTAGAATCGGTTGCCATTCTCCCGCAGCTCTTCATGCTCCAACGTACTGGGGAAGCAGACACTATTACAACACACTATCTTTTTGCGCTAGGTCTGTACCGCGCTCTCTATATTCCAAACTGGATCTACCGGTACTATGCGGAACGCCATTTTCAACCCATTCCAGTCATCGCTGGCATCCTTCAAACACTGCTTTACTCGGACTTCTTCTACATATACTATAATAAGTGATTTACCTCTGATACGCAGCCTATCGTCTATATTAACTGACTGTTGGCCCAGGGTTATGAAGGGTAAAAAGTTCTCACTACCAGTCTAATTCAGCTCCGGTGCAAATTGCCTTCGGCGAAGGACATAGGGCTTGGAAGAATATTACCGAGTAGCTCGATACGTGAAATTTCATATATTGTTAGCCAGAGTGGTACTCCATATCCTCGACGACGAGCGCGGCTGCGGCTTGCCCAGCATAACCCTGTATCAATAGAGATTTAGAACATCACCCGTCAACAAGGTACTTTTTTCTAGTGTGTCGTCGCCCATTAACGGTGCCTTCACTGTAGATTCTGGGTTCTGGCTGACCTCGTCTATCATATAATTTCCTACTCATGGTAGTCAGTCTGTATTGCGGAAGAGACCATGGACTTTCTATTCCCACGAGCACAAGACACCAACGACGCGATTTTTACAGAGCGAGACCTGTGTCGTGGCTCATGAAGGATAATAATACCACCACAATTTCAATATCATTAACGCACATAAGAACAGGAAAATCAGAGCATTGGACTGAACTTGAAAATAAACATGACACATGACTAGGGAATAATGCGCACAACGTGCCAATAGCCTAGTTTTGTGCTTCCTGAGCAATGTGGAGAGCCAGGACAGATTGTATCCTGTTCATAAAGGTCCAGCGAACTTCAATAGCTTCGCTGACCAGACGGTCCATGTGAGGAAGCGTAGCCTGCGCCATAGCCGACTTGAGGTGATGAAACTGACATATCACTCTGAAAGGGCTCTAGAGCCCCGGAAACAGACCCTGGAAGATGGCTCAATGCTCCGCCTCCATATGAGCGTATGTTAACTGAAGAGATCGGTTGTCGTTCATGTATGCTCCGCTGACTGTCTATCCATGGACCATGATTACCATGACTATTGAATTGACTGAAAAATTCGGCCTGGGATCTATCCAACGACAACTGCCCGTTCAAGCTGGAGTCGCGCCTCGATATCGGTGGTGAAGGAAGTGTTGGGGAGCGCGGCACTGCCTCCAAACGAGGAGAGCTCCTTCGTGAACTAGGTGGCGTCAACCGTGAGCCTCCTCGACGCACTTGGCAAGTTGGGCATATTTTGACAAAGCGTGAGATAAGCTCTTTCGGGACCCTTTAGACATTTGGAGGAGGTTCCTAGTGGTTAGACTGCGTTTAAATGCATGGAAGGCTTCAGATGGCAATGCAGATGAGTTGGGACATCGACACCGACACCGAAGAAGCCAAAGCTAGATGAGAACTGCGTTTCACATACCACGAATAGATCTGTCGAACTTGAGCTGAGGTCTTGTCCCTCCCACCATGTTGACATTGTTGATGTGCCCTGGTTAGTATTTTGAATAGCTTCTCTCGAATTGCCACTGGTTTCCCTTCATGGCAAATCAGCCTCGTATACTGTGCTGGCGTACACGAGTGAGTATTTGGAAGTGGCTTGGTGATAAATAAGAATACTGACATCTGATACCCCAGGACCAACGGCTTGGAGCTTGAACATCTTCTTAACCCAGAACCTAAGATAGTCTTAGCAAGGAATTATTCGGTAAATTCGACATGAATCTGAGGGTGCCAGTGCAATCTCTCTAGCCATGTCATGAGGCGAAAGTCGGTCTTACCGAAACTGAGCTGATTCTATAGCTGTATCTTTGGGGTCCAACAGCACTGTCTTGATGTTTCGCGCCCTTTTGGCATGGATCAAAGCCTTATCTTGCTTTTTGACGGACAGATCATCGACATAGCTAACAAGCGTGATCATGAGTATCACTGTGACATGCCATGGTATCAAGTCTCTGGGGGGATCAATGAAAAAGCGCACCTCTTCATCAATTGGTCGAACTCCCTTACGTTGGGAAAGCCTTCCAACGGTGGGAGAACTGGCTCTGAAAGCATGGTGTGCTCATTGCTGGAGTCTTGGGCCTCGATTTCTGCATCGCCAAGTGCTTCGCGAAAACTGAAATAACCAGGTGACTGGATGTAGCGCGAATGAGATAGATACTGTGTAGGATGCTGCCGCAGGGGCACATGGTCAGGCGTCGAGGAAATTGAATGCGCTGGTGAATGGTTACTCGAAGGAAGATGATGTGTGGTCGAAGATAAGCCAGCATGACTAAATGGAGATGCAAATTGCGGTGTGAATGGATGAAATGATGGTTGGCTAAATGTGAAAGCCCCTGATTCATTTACATTGAAGTCATTATTGTCGATATGGCTGTATGGAAGTGGTAGAGCCATTTGGTGATTGAAACTGTAGCTATCATGATTGTCATTGCGTCTTGTAAAGCCACTCATTTTGATATGAAGCTGGTAACAAGCAAGCTAGAACCTTGAAAAGGCTAATCTGAGTCAATATAGTAGGTTTGGTGATCCGGCCGCGGCGAAATTATCCAATGGTTTGTCTTTATGAGTATGGAGCCAAAAGATCTGGATGATTAGATAGGAGCTCCCTGTCGAGAAGCTCTTCAAATAGAAAAGTAGAGAAAGACTGTGATACGCGAATAGCCCTGAAAACACACTCCAGAGTCAGGGGCTTTGTGGTAGTTCGAACAAGAAAGAGAATGAAGCTCCCGAGATCAATCTAGGCCGGGAATTCAGCGACAGTTAAAGGATGGGGGAAAAAGCATCGAGTAGACTGAGACTATTCTCAGTGAGCTCCGGCATAATAGCTCCAGTGTGACTATGTACAAAGGTTTGCCACTACGAGATGCGTCCAAACAAGGTGAATTATTTGGCAGGGATGTAATTGAGACGACTCGTCTGTCTTGCCTGCCGAGACATCATCAACTCGGTATGACCCTGGGAATGAGAGGGTGTCCATTTGCTTCTTTTTGATTGCATGGAGTGCTCCTGGCAGCTTTGGAAACTGAAGAAGCCAGGGAGGCATAATCAACGAAGTCGAAGTAGGGGTACAGCAGGGAGGCAATAGCAGTCAGTGCAACCATTTGGAACATTGGGCGAGGTTCTGTAAGCGTCTGCTCCTAGCTCAAGGTACCGAATATAGTCAAGACATGCAGCAAGATTCTTGATAGTCAAAGAGATCTGTCGTACGTACAAGGTTCAAGCATGGAGGGCATAATACTAGGAGGAGCACAGAGAACATGGACTTGGGTAATGCACACGTAGATAACAGGGGTCACAGGAAGACGGTGGAAATAGGCGACAGAAGTGGAAAAGCAGCCTTACAGGACATCAAGCACGTCAGCCACGGGTGCCTCTGGGCGATCGCCCCGGAACAAACCTAATTGTCTGTATATTTTTTTGAAGGACCCATATAGACATGATTCAAACATGCGTAGCACACACTATTCAGCGTGTCTTCTGAAAACTTGACCGCAGTGTTTGTGACCGTGGCCTGAGATAACTTGAACTTAGTACAAACTTCATGTACGAATGAGCAAATGTCATTTCTCCCTTCTTTTTTTACCAGACACCAAGTAGATCAAGCTGTCGGACGAGAAGTGAATCTCGAAGATTGAATCTGCTTTCCATCCTTGTCGATCTCCCTTACTTGTCCCAGTACGAGGCCCAAAGTCGTGCTGGAGGCTAATCAAGGCAGACAACTTTCATTATAGGCACTTTAAGCGCAACGCACGTCTAACTGGTAGCACGAGGGCGTATCTAGAAAGAAGTGAAGCTAGTACAAGGCGATTCATAGAGGCCATAGGTAACAACGTGTTCCTAGAGACTTGGCCGTATGTCTTTTAAGTAAATCCCTGAAAGTAGGGAAAGTAGTCCAGCATTGAATGCCCTAGAATCACAAAAACACTTTCGAAAGGCGCGACTTCACCACAGCCCTAGGGCTTCATCAGCGCAGTGATACACACGCTCGCTGTTTCTAGATGGCAATGCTGATATAACTGATGATGATGAGGATGATGATGATGAGGATGATGATGATGAGGATGATGATGATGAGGATGATGAAGATGATGATGATTGCACCCGAAGAGAACGCCCGTTTCTCTCTATGGTGTTCCAAATGCAAGCTTAGATTTGATGTGCATATTTGCCGCTTTTGCTATCTTCTAGGAGCAAATGAAAGGTGTAATGCTACTAGGTATTACTCGGACCCTGCAAGGTTTGAGCCCTTGGGTACCTACCCGGTATTCCAATGCCTAGCCCACTGTCACGAGCGCCTATTGGTCGTTATCTGCCCACGACTCCCAAGACCTAGCCTTTGGAAGGTTGAGAGATTTCCACATGGGTCAAGGCGATAAGGGACCGTGCCAGGTCGATGCTCAAAGTACGAAGTCGCGGGTCATGTCCATGGTCCAGGGGAAGGAGTCCGATCGGGAACCCCGAAATCTGTTTCCTTGAGGAGGGAGAAAAAAACACAACAGAATCATCTCATATCTAACAAATCATTCTGAGAAGGAAGTACTAAATGTTCAACCTGTCCCGTTGATTCATGAACCCCCAACCATGGGGATCTGATCTCATGTCTCTCAGCCACCAGCAGCCGTATTCCAAAGCCCGGCGCTGGTACCGTACTTACAACGTAGAGCTTCCCTGGGGTTCATCAAACGCATGAGGCATACGAGTCGAGCATGCAAGACAATAAAAAAAATCCAAGATTAACTAGTCAAGTTCTGAATAGCTGTAGGCGAAAGCCACGAGCCGCGCTGGCCGAGAGGAACAGGAGACAATTCTTCTCATGCAGCTAACCGGAATACTGCATAAAGACAACCTCAAGGGCAAAATAGGGCTCATTCAGGGTTCCCGTCCTTTTCGTTCTCCCGCCTTTACCCCCCCATAATTCTTTGCCCTTCCCTCGTTGCTTTGCTAGTGGTCTTTCGGGGTCCTTGTACTGTACCTGTGCTTGGCTGCTCAGACTTACCGAATACTGCATCACCATATGTATGATCCCATGTACATGATAACAAGCTGACTCTTTGTACATACAAAGGCTGGGCTGGAATTTGACAGCAAATAGCCTTCAACTTGAGTTGGCACGCCATCATGTCCTTGGATTGTCCAGATGTCATGAGGATCGGAGTTAGGGAACCAGGTCGATCAACACTCTGTTCTCATGGTGAGAATACATCGACCTCATATTGCCCATGACGCCGCCGGGTAGTGTACATATAATACCGTCTTGCAATGAATTTTAATCGTTGCTGATTCTATTATTACGCATTTCACAGTGCTCTTGAGAGTATATTCATACGAGATATAGTTTGCTCAGCTCTACTCGGCTGTGCTTATCTGTACCCGAACTCTGCTCAATGGTATTGCCTCCGTTGGTAGAGTAATGTATGTGCCCTACACCGCGGGCCATCAAACCCCCGGGACCTTTTCTTCTCGATGTGTCTCACGTGTCTTTTTGTGACAATATTGTCGCGGAGGTGCGACTCAATCTTGCGCAGGCTATTGAATTTATCTATCCTGTATGAACTACACAGCAACATCCTGTAAGAAAAGGGTAGCGAGATCTGGCCTAGAAATAGGTGCCACTACACCAGCCCGAAGCTGAGACAAGACTGTACACTATGATAGCTGGTGATGGGTGCAGATACTCTGAAAGCAAACTAAATCCTCCTCAGTACACCGACTCCACGTATAGCTCCCAAGCACCTGCCTGGCCCAGCCTCTCGCGTCAACGGGACCGAGGGACAGGGCTCTTATGAATTTGAAACTGGGGCGGAACTTGGGATCCTCGCCTGAAGTACGCGAGCCGAGTTGACATGGCTACAGTTGAATCATCAAAGTTCATGTGTGCGTTAACAGTTAACGGCTGGCCCATACTAGGTAGGAAGCTCAACCTAAGACTGGGACACTTCTAACTTAGAATCTTTGCTGTTTGGCTCGGATTGGTAAGTCTTGTCACACACAAACACTACAAAGTACGTACGGTAGGCAAGGTACTGTGGTGGTGAGGGGCGAAGGCGCCTTCCTGGCAACCTCCCTTTTCGCTCCACCTGGTTCTCCTTCTCCTCCCCTCTCCACCGCAGTTTTTATGGGTGACGATCATCATCCTCAGTTAGCAAATTAATACGACATCTTTCCAGTCTCATTCGGTAGTTCTTTCAGTACTCGTCGTTCGACCAACCCACACCCTGACCGGGTATGGGTCGGTGACACCTCACGAATATCGATGTCTCACGGATAATTTCTTAAATCCAGCTTTAAATAATGATAACTCAACAAGTTCTTTTTAAATTAGTCTAAAACTAGGGGAATATATTTTTTAGATACTAGTTTACATATAAATGATAAGTCTCTTAAAGAATAAGGTTTAAGTCTACTGTTTAAATATTATCTTAGTAAATTTTATTCTAAAAATCTACTTTTTTAGTATAAATTTTCAAATATAATAGTTATAGATTTAGAATCTGAATTATAAATAAAACTACCTATACTTTATATCTTAAGGAAAAATCAAGTTATAATTTGAGTTTAAAAAGGTATTAAAAAAATAAATTATTATATTTTAAAAAGTACAAAGACATCAAGATTTCTTGATTATATTATATATATATACATTTATAAAGTAAAAGATTTAATAGATAAATGATATATGATAACTTATATTTAAAAAGTATTAAAAAATCCAATTTATATATAAATACTATACAAATTAAAGTTATCTGTAAGAGGTCAATATTTGTGAGGTGTCACCGATCCATAACCGGTCAGGGTGTGGGTTGGTGGAACATCGAGTACCCATTAACGTAATCGGTAAGCGAGTGGCGCGTGTAAGCCAGCGGCGTAGAGCTGTATTTAGTATTAAATATAGATATTTTGAACTTATATAATTCAACAACAAGAATACATAAAAATTTTAAATAAATATATTATAGAAATAAGTATATTAATTCCTTATAAATCTTATTTAGAAATATCTATATCTTTTTTAAAAGAAGTTATTCTAGAAAAAGAATAAAATACAAAAAATACACTGTATTTTTCTGTATTAAGTCTTATTAAGCTTTAAATTAGAAATCCTTGATATGAGTACTAATTTATAACTATATAAAGCTGTATACAAGATTATATAGAATAATATCCAGAATTGGTCGAGATATAAGGGATTGAAAATTACTATTTTATATGGGAAATGCAGCGCGCCGCTGGCTTACACGCGCCACTCGCTTACCGATTACGTTAATGACGACGGCAATTACCAATCACAAAGGAGAACAGACGTCATTGGAGGCACATGTACCATGGTCATTACAAGTTATTGTAAGGCGGAAGGAATAAAATGGCAATAGATTATCCGAGTTAAATTAATGGCTCATAGGGGGGTATTGTCGCAGAAGCAATATGATCTACACTCGAAGCTGAATCTTCTGCATGTCACCGAAGGTTTTCGCTAAGCCTAGAGACGCAATATGCAAAATCGCTCGAGACCATCCATCAGAACATGATATACGTTTGTTGTACCTACCTATCTGGAGCTTTAACCTCATAGCCACCTCTGGAACCAATCAGATGATTGGCAACCATATGAACTTTTACGTGTGGGGGAACATAAATCAAGGCCAATGCCTCGTACGCCAACGAACTTCATGGCTTCCGAGCTCACAATAACACTTCCAGACTTGACTTGGTGTACAGTACATAGCCAAGCAAGATTACTCGGAAGTATTCGCGTGACGTAAAGAGAATATAGAGCCCGCAGGAATCCCTCACCAGTATACGAACAGAGTCACATGTACGTGCTTTTTATATGCGCTTTCATAGATTAAAGTAGGTATAGGATTTGCCAGTTCATTAGGGACAAATTACCACACATTTCTTCGTAACGTCGTATAACGAGCATGGACCTGGCGTCATAAGGCCCTGAAAAGACGGACACCTTGCAGGCACAGAATCTATCTACTTGCTGCAGCACCATGAAGGAACTGTGTCGCTGCAGATAAGGTATCGCGTGCAACCAGCCTACATCGCCGCTGCAACCATGCCAACTGCTGGTCATGCATGGTGACCATCCGGGGCACTAATAGCGCCATTGAAGCGGACCAAATCTCGGATAGCCCATCTCCAACCGTCACCGAATTTCGCACGATCAAGTCTGGTCCATCTATCCACCTTGCGCCTCCATTTATCTTCCTCCACGCGCTGTCTCCTGATAAACTCAGGGCCAACATCGAATTCTTCAGTGATGGGCCACTCATCTGAAGAGTCCCCGTAGCTTCGGTCGTCTCCGCTTGCTGCAAGACACAGATCCTCCTGATTAGCTGTTGAACGTCGACCCACCGTATCGGAGGCTTCCTTCAAGTCATCCAGACCAGCAAAAACATCATCTTCGTCCTGGACAGCCACCAAACCATCCTGTCCAGGTTGTAACGGTGCCAATTTTAGCCAGCACATACGCCGCGGATCAAATACCATTCCACCAACAACCTGCACGTTCTGCATTGCCCCAACATTTGTGATGAGAGCGGGCGTTGGCTTGGGAGACTTCGGTACGGTTGTCTCAAACGCACGAACCGAGTTTTCGTTTCCTTCCCAACAGAAAGATCTCGGATTGTACCGCATACCATTGACCGCTACAAAGTATGTAATTGTTAGCCGTGGTATTTTCACTTGCTCAGAAGTTATGTTTGACTTACACTTCGCTTCCTGTACACCGGTACCCAGTGGCTTAATCAGATGAGGCTTGGCCCCAGGCAGCGAAGTGGCTTTACACTTCTTCCTTCTGATGAAATCCGAGCCGGAAGGCACGCGTGTGACATTAAATGTTCTGGCATTTGAGCCTAAAGCAGCAAGCGGGTGACTCTCGCGTAGTTTCGTACTAGATGACAAAGAGGCAATGCGCTGCTCCCTTGCATTTCTAGAGGCATTGGTGTCTCGTGCAAACCTAGGAGTAGTATCAGATTTGGGCAAGATACCTATATGACTTGTAGGTCGTGGAGATGAAGTTTCTGCTCTGGGAGAAGTCGACGGATTAGGACCTAGTTTGTTTCTCAGTGACCGTGGAACACCTCGCCCGGAAGGGTTTTTCATAAATTTGCTCTCCGCGGAGGAAGACGTAGGCAAATCATCGAACAAAGCCAGCTCCGATCCGTCTCCAAAGTTCCGGCGTCGAGTCGGCCGAGTGAGAGTCCGTTTAGTAGCAGCGATTAATGCCTCGGGGCTAGATTCGGGATGGCTTTTGCTAAGCGGATCATGGCGACTCCGTGACAATCGAGCATTATAGCTTGGGAAGAACATATCATTGGAAATGTCAGAGTTATTGCGACGACCCTGACGGTAGTTCTTAAGGCTTGCATGGTGTGACTGATTTTCTGATGCCCCAGCAGGAATGAATGGCACTTGAGCTTTTCGTATCACTTGTTTCATATCGTTCCCCAAGCGATCTACCGGGGTTTTAGGACGAGACATACAATGATAAAACGAGCTTGACACATCAGAATAGATAGGAAGGCGTTGGCTTGAGAGCGTCGTGGCAATTTGCTGCGCATCGCGCATTGTTGGCATTGAACGTTTCGAAGCCAAATGTCTCCCAAACGTTACACATTCTGCTGGGATTTCTTTGCTATTTCGACTTGTATGCCGTCGGTGAGGCGTCGAGGATTGTTGAGCAGATGGGAGACTAGTTACAGAAGATTGTGGCGAATGAGTCCCAGCTCGGTGTTGTGATGTCCGAAATCGCGAAAGTGGTGCTCCGCTTTCTGAAACGGTCTCTAATTGTGTCAAGTGCGGGCGATCAGGGCCAGATGGACGTGGAATCCGAGACTTGGGAGATGTCGTCGTGTTGGTAAATGTGAGAGTCATCGTTGAGTGTCGCATAGGACTTTGAGAGGGCTCGGGTTTGCACTTGATATTAGGATTAATTGACAGCCTTTGGGGATCAAAGACCTCGCCGTCCTCGATTTCAAGTCCTAGGAAGAAATCGTCGCTCTTGGTTGAAGATTGAGTGGCACAGGGAGTCTTTGCGTAAGCCGTGTCTTGATCTGCAGGCGATCTTCGCTTTCTGAGATGTGATTCTAAGTCCAGAGGCTCTTCGGGGATCACGAGACCATCGAGGCCATCGTCCTCGCTTCCGGCCGTGGGACAGCTTGAAGCGCTCGGGCTGATAACGGACACAGATGAGGGGTTCGATCTATGCTCCCTAGTAGTTCCAGCAAATCGAACCCCAATACTGCCTTCCGACCAATCTAGCTCGGCATCTTCAGTCGATGGAGTCAGGGGTCCTGCATTTGCTTTGCAAGGAGAGAGTCGGAACATAACATCACCGCTTGACAGATCAAAGTCCGCTTCAAAATCGTCCGCGATAAGATGATCTCTGTGGAACATGGGGTTATTGAGAAGAGAGGGTTTGTCTTGGGAGCGAGGTCTCGCAACTTTGATTGTAGGGATGTCATGAGCATCATCCGTGTCGTGACCCATCTTGGTATTAGCCGACGCTACTAAAGCAGACTGTAGTCGAGTTGGGATGTCTCGATCCCATACGGCTGACGCCGAAGTCTTGACCGGGCTTACAGCAACGGAGCTGACTTGCCGCAGTGCTTCAGGGAAAGACGTATCGAGTAGACTTTTCAATTGCAGTACGCCATCGGGACCGGGAAAATCCACGTCATCGGCCCAATCGTCGACGACGTTTGTTGTATTGTTCCTCCGCCCCAGGCGTTTGATGGTGCCACCAACAAGGGCTGATCTAGGGATGTTTGTTGGCAAAGGTATTCCGGCGTCTTTGGCAGAGGAAATAGCCTCTTCGGTGACCACTTCGTCGTTGTCCAGCAGCTGAACCTGCCAGTCCTCATCACCACCGCAATTAGATTCCAAATCAGAACGCGCAGAGCGACGCGACGAAATGGAGTCCCTATGGCCAGATTGGCGGACTGATGAATTTGTTACCGAGGTGGCACTCGACGCCGTACGCAGCTGGAGGCCATCATAGCATTGCAGGTCTTCATCGTCATCCCAGCACTCGATGGTTTCTTCGTCGTGATTTCGTAATTCGAGGGTCAAGGCAGCCATGATCTCAGTTGAAGACCATAGCCGGCAAGTGACACGTTGTCAAGGATGTTTCTGGTCGCCGATGGCAGGCTCAGAGCACTACAGCGCTGAGACGAGATTGAAGGAGGCGATTCATCCCGCGCTGAAGAGAACCAATCCAAAGCCAGGTGCTCCTATTGGCAGCATCAATAGCAGAAGCAAAAGATCTCGACAGTTTGACTCCCAATCGTTCGTGATTTAATGATAAAGTGGTATGGGACGATCTCGAGGGAAGGTGGGACAAACGAAACAGTAAGAAACTCTGCCGCTGCGTCGAATATATAGACGTTGAATTCTGAGCATAGGTCAAGCTTGCATGTTCAGATGAAGCTCAAAAGTCGATGAGAACATATGGGCGAGCCGAGATACTAGAGGCTTTGCAGCAGCACTTTGATGTGGAAGGTGGTAGTGGGCTCGTCGTGGTGGTGGAGGCAGAGGCGGAGGAGCCGGCGGCTGGACGGATTCCGTTTGGGTTGTGAGGTATTTGAGGTAAGGGTGGAAGGCAGCAGGTAACAATTATGTAGCTTTCCACCAAGAAATATGCAAATCACAATTCCCACAACGCAGAGCAACCACTTGAGGTCCGGTTACGATCAAAGAGCTCCAGTCATTTTTCCAGTAGCTGCTTGCGGGCCGCGTTTTCGCTTGTATATCTGATCTGGTCTCGCAAAGTTTTCTTTTCTTTTGTTTTCTTTTCTTTTCTTTTTTGCAAATTCTTTGTGATTATACAGTAGATACAACAAAACAGGTAAGAGACCAAGGAGGAGGGCATCAAGTAATAGTTATAAGATCAACCATATTTAACTTATAAAGCAGTATACCGCTGGTTGAAATTTGTTGTCAGCACTATACCAAAAATAGGGTAGATACAGCTTTATTTAGGAAATCATGATTCCAAGCTTTGTATAATATTCAAAACTAATAATGTTATTTATCATTAGAATGACTTTGTATGCTTAATTTTATAATACTGATTTAGTCCGCTTATGTTTACATCAAGTTTTCTTAGAATTATAATTTTGGGATCTAGGATTTTTGCAAACTGAAGATATTGATTCAAATAATATTTAAACTATTTTTATCAGGTTTTTGGGGTTATAGAAAGAACTATATTGAATAATATAAATATCCATATATATTTAACTATAGACTACCAAGTACAGGTAGAAATAATAATAGATTAAATATCACTATAGACTTATAAGTTATGAATAATTATATAAGATGTAAGTTCCTATAATTAATGTAATCCACAAGCGGGCTGGCTACTAAAGCAGGCTGGCACCTGTATTATCCATACAATAGAGCCATATTTTATATATCAATATCTGTAGTGAACCTTAGCTTATCTAAGGATTCTGCTGTTCTGTCTTCCTACTACTTTCTATATTATTCTAATAGAAGACTTTTTAGATCTCTAAATTTTAACTATTTCTAAGATTTTTCTTTAATTTAATTTTTTTATTTATTTATCTTTTAACTTAGCTATTAACTACTATAATATATAATAATATATCCTAGTTTTCTGATATATAAAATATTATATTAAAGTTTATATTAATTAAATCTTATTTTTTTTCTAATTTCTATATTTATTTATTTTTTATTTATTATATACTAGATTTTCTATATTAGTATCTTTTTTCTTTACTTAATTAATTATATAGTTTTTTATATTAGTATATTTCTAATTATCTCTAATTTTATCTATTATATCTGTTTTTATTATTATAAAATACCTAATTTTTGAATCTTAATTTATTACTCTTATTCTAATTTTAATCTATTTAATTTATTATATTATTTATAATTTTAAATTAGTATACTATTCTAGAACTTAGTATTATTAATATTTTTATATAAATTTTTTTATATTATACTAAGTATTTATCTTATATTATTTTTATTTATTTATTATTTATTATATTAATTTATTTATTATATTTTATATCATTAATTTTTAGTATTAGTTTTAATATTCCTGGATTATTATTTAAATATTTTAAAATTAATTTATTAAATTATTAATTATTATATAATAAGTTTAATATTTATTTATTATTATATTTATTTTATAATATCTAAAAATATTATATTTATTCTATTTTCTAAAATACTAATAAATTTATGTTATATAAGAATTTTAGTTTTTTATTATATTTATTAATTTTTTTATATATCTGAGTTATATTTTAATTAATTATTAAATCTAAATTTTTAGTAATTACTAAAGTTTTTTATTAAACTAAAATAATTACTAGGATATATATATTCTAAAGTTTTAATTATATTAAAATTTATTATTATATTTATATTATAAATAATTATATCTATTTTTATATTTTATTCTATATTATTTAAAGAATCTGGTAGTTTAATTATATTAATTTTAAGTTTTATTATACTAAAACTAATTAACTTTATTACTTTTAAATAATATAATATTAATATTATTAATCTAAATATACTCTACATTATTGAGTATTTTAATATTTTAATAAAATTATTTATTAGTATTATAAAGAATTTATAATTAAGTTAAACTTATAAATATATATATATAGTATAGTTTTTATATAGTATATGTAAGGACTAATATCCTTACAACCTTCGCGATAAGCTTATCGCGAAGGAACATCAACTACCCCTGCGAGAATAAGATAAGAGATCACGTGAGAGACTAGGCGAGTAGCCGCGACCACCACACAAGTGGCAGCTACCCGCGAGAATAGGAAACCAGCGATAACACTTTAAGGCAATATAACACCACCTTTGACTCTCACAAGGGATATTCGTTCATCATGCTATTTCACCCCTTAGTCCTTATAGTATACTATTAGTTTTATTAAATAAAAAAATATTTTATAATTAATATATTATTAAATAATAAGTAGTTTCATAAATTAAAAAAATACTTTAAATTAAGTTTTTATATAATAAAAATAAAATTAAATACTTAATTTTATAAAATAATTAATATATAAATTAATACATATATTAATTAACTTATTTAAAAAATAATCTATTATATCTATATTATTGATATAATTAATTTTTTTTAATAATTAATTTATATCTAGAACTACTTAAATTTATATTTCTATATAGAATTAATATATTCAAATAAAAATATTATAATTAATAAATTTCTTAAATAATTTAATTAATAGTAATATAATTAAAGAATTTTCATTTATATAATTTAATATAAAAAGTATTCTAGATCTAAATTTTTAAAACTCTATAAATCTTATATTTATTAAAAATTTAATAATTGTTATAAAAAATCTTAAAAATATAATAAGGATTATATTGATAATTATAATTAATAATTATATTAGAACTAGTAGAGTTAATTAAAACTTAAACTAGTAATTAAATAATTATTAATAATTTTAATAATAATAATAATAAGTCTATTTTTATATTCTATATTAAGCAAAGAAAATATAAGTTTTTACCTAAACTATAGTAAATAATTCTCTACTTATTTTAAGTAATTAGTCTTGGAATAATAATAATAAGTTTTAAAAAAATTAATATTAATATTGGTTTTAGAACTTAATTCTTAGATTATTTTCAAAGAATTAGTTAAGTTATAGATATATATATATATAATTATAATAATAGATTTAATAGTACTAATTAAAGAATTTTATTATATTTATAAATAAAGTAAGAAATATTATATTTAGTACTTTAAATAATAATTAGAATAGTTATATAAATAAATATATAATCAATCTTAAATTAAAGAGTATAATTATAATTAATCTAATAGTAGTAATTATTATAAAGACTATAATAATACTTATAATAGATATATTAATAATATAAATATTATAAATACTAGTAATAATATTATCTAAGATATTAAGAATATTAAAATTAAAAATATTCTTATATAAATTAAAATTTTACTTATTTTATATAATAATTATCATATGTTTTATATTATATAATAGATAATATAAATATTTGTATTATAATATTTAATTATTTAAATTTATATTATTTAAGATTACTAATTCTTTTAAGACTTTATTTATTAATATTATTAAATCTAATTATTATAAGAACACTGAAAGTAACTAGTTAAGAAATTATTATATATATAATATTTTATTATTATTAAAGTGTAAGAACTAATATCCTTATAACCTTTGTGATAAGCTTATTATAAAGAAATATTAACTACTTCTGTAAGAATAAGATAAGAGATTATATAAAAAACTAAGTAAATAGCTGTAACTACTATACAAGTAGCAGCTATTTATAAAAATAGGAAACTAGTAATAATACTTTAAGATAATATAATACTACCTTTGACTCTTATAAGGAATATTTATTTATTATACTATTTCATCCCTTAGTCCTTATATATAGTTAATCTAAATATAATTATATATATATATATATATATATATATTAATACTAGTTATTCTATAATCATTATAAATATTAATTTTATTTGATTTTTTGAACCTAAAATATAGTTTATAAAAAAATATGATTTCTTATTTATATTATATATAATAGATATAAAATAATTAGCTAATATTTTCTATTAAAAAATTAAATTAAAATATAAATTATTTATAAATATAATTCCTAATAAAAACTTATATTTATTAATTAATTCTAATTAGATCTCTATTTCTAAACTAAAATAAAAAAGATTATTAATAATATTTTACTTTTGGATTAATAATTAGATTAAAAAAGTAAATAAAGTTTTAGAATATTATTTAAAATATTTTATTATAAAAGATTAAAATAATTAAATTGATATATATTTTAAATTAAATTTATTTATAATAATTATAAAGATATATTTATTAAAATAATTTTTTTTAAAATTTTTATAAGCTATATACTAGAATTTTAATTATAGATTAAAAATAATTTTATAAAAATAGAGATACTATTTATAATAAAAAAAATAAAAAATTTAATGATTTTTAAAAAATCTATAATAAATT